TAAAGGATGCAAGAATCATTTTTTATTTGCTATCAATCAAACTGTTGAAGCTTATATAACTATCAACCATATATACAATTTTTCAATATCGGTAAAATCCTAACAGTTCATACAAAATAAATTGAAACCAAAAAATTAATACTTGAATTTTGAAAAATCATCAGTTTCACTTTTATTTTTTCTTTGAATTTTAAAAGATTTTTACCTACTAACGCTATATCGTTTTGGCTTTCGTGAACGCATATACGTTTGAAAGAACTCATAATCTCAAATGCATTCGATTGACACCAAAAATGTTGACATCCAAACCAAAACGCATATAAGTTTGAAAGAACTCATAATCTCAAATGCATTCGATTGACACCAAAAATGTTGACATCCAAACCAAAGGTCCAGCAAATTAAATTTTGTAAAATAAAATACATTTATCTATATTGGAGATTGGAGATGACCATTTAATCTTTGTTATTTCTAGTTTTTTTGATGTATTAAAAAATCATGATTTTTTCTTTTCAAATATTCTAATCACGCGTGTTTGTGTATATCTATTGCAGGTAGTTGTGATTCAGTTATGCATCAATTAGTTTAAGGATCTCTTTTGTTATTTTCTGTTGATGTAGATTTTGGTTTTTCTATGTGTTTTGTTTATTTATGTCAAAAGTCTTAAAATTATTATAAAATTTAATATTTTACAAAAAAGTGGTTTTTTATAGAATCAGGGGGTGATCCGAGTTTTTATCATTTGACTAATTTTTCCAAGGTAAGTATAGCCGTCGAGTACCCCACTCACCAAATTTCATGTTATCTAGATAGGCATAAAGCGTGACACTTTTTCGACTGACCAAGTGAGAATAGTTATATAATTTTACGTTTGAGAGGAATTGAACACCGGCTCAGTAGGCCTAAAAAGAATGGTTGACTGCTTTGCTAAACAAAGATTTTAAAGTAGTAAGATGCAAGCAAAAATAGACTACAAATAATTAACTTCACATTACTTGTAGAAGTTTATCGAGACATTTTTATTCGTTTGAACATTATTTTTTTGTTTTTAAAACACATAAAATAATGAAGAAAATTCTAATTAAAGCTTGTTGCTGATGCTGCAGCAGACGCCACTTAAGACAGCTACTAATGTCCAAACTTGTATGTCTGTTTATTTCATCCCTCACTCTTCTATAAATTCATTTCATCTCTTCTTTGTTTCACTCATCAACTAATATTTTTATTTCACTTTTTTCTTTAATTTAGAGTTCATTATAACTTGTGACAACAGTAAAAAAGAGCTTGGCTTTTGGTTGGGTTATTCTTTTTTATACATTGTTTTCAACCACTTATTAATATAAGATATATTATATATCTATAATCTTAAACATGTGTACTGGAAAATTATCACACGCAAAATTCTCATCCAAGGTTATTCAATAATTCGTTACTTTTTTTTTGTCAACTTCAATAATTGGTTACTTTTAGTTGTTACTTTCGTGCACGTATATTTGTACACATTCACATCTAAGTATATTCGCACGTGTGTATAAATAAAGTTCTGAAGGTGTGTAATAATATGTGCATGCATTAACTAAATAAATTAAAGAGATTTACATATTGACGAATTGTTTGTTTTTCCTTGTTTTGAAAAGTTTGGGAAAACAAGTCCAACATCTTCTGTAATCTCCTTGGGTTCCAGCGGTAAAGGAATGGTGAGATGAAGGTTCCATTTTCTTGAATTTTTTGTTTTTGTGAGGCAATAATATATATATGTATAGTTTTAAACATTACTCTACAATATTTTCAACAAGCTAAGTGTTCTAAGTTTTCGGCTCTTGGCTAATATTTGGAGAAAAAAAAAAAGACTTTCTTGCAAGTTGATCTAGGCTTTAACTTGTGGAAATAGCCTAAAAACAATCATTCGATTCAAAAGAAGTTTGTGCTAAGTAAATCTTTATAGCAAAAACAATCATTCTGAATTTCCGACAATACCTATTTCTAACCTCTGAATAGAGTTGGCCTTTTTCTATCATATGCACGTGCAAGAAATAGTAAATTTGGAAGGGTTGACAATTAGTTTAACTAATTGGTTACCAAAAAGGTAAATAATCATAGTTTGAGTTCTAGTCAAAGTATATGTTGTGTCTAACTCGTGAACTTCTCGATCTAATAAAAAAAGAACAACTCGATCGAGAGTTTTAAGATAATGCGTATAGTTTTCTTAGAATGTACGTACATAAATACTAAAGTGTGTGTAGTACATAGTGATTAATGTAAATCCTCGTACAATAATATAAGTCCTTCAATATTCACTGAAGGACTTATATCATTGTAAATCTCATACAATCATATAAATCCTTATTCAGAAAAAAATGATATAAGTCCTTCAATATTCACTAAAAATTCTATTGTAGACCAAAGTGGAACTCAAAGACAGAGCGCCTGACAAAACCAAGACAGCCGCGGCTAAGGTATCCATATAACGGCTAAATATCTTTAAGTCGGAAAAGAAAAAGAAATGCGTATGTTGCATGGAAATACTATACTCAAGAAAATAACAAGTTACAACTATAATCCACGTATTCGTTATATTAAGAAGGTTTATATGTATTGCACTTTATTATGGGCAAATTACAATGATCCTAGTACTGCTTATTCAATAATTGTTACGCTAATGATAAAAGTGGTTCAACATCTACTTGACACAAAACAAATTTTCCGATAACTATTAACTTATTTACTTCTACGATATTAGTCTTTTTAAAATATATATATATCAGTCAATTACCCATTTATGGAATTATAAAATTTGTTGTTTGATTAATCAGAATGTTGCAAAGGCACCAGCAAAAGAGAACAAAAAGCCTCTTGAATTCAAGCTTCATTCTGGCGACAGGGCAATGAAACGTGCCATGTTCAACTATTCGGTTTACACAAACTTCCTCAATATTTATTAATTTTTCATTAATTTTTGTTTTTTTCTCTCAAGTCTAAGGCGCAATTATCATCTTCGCAGGTTGCAACTAATTACTATATCACAAAACTGCAGAAAAAACAAGAAGAGAGATTGCAAAAGGTAATTTACAAAAAAAAAAAAAAGGATTACTTAGAGAAACCTTAACCAGTCGTCGTCTAAACACACGCAAACTGTAATCTGATTGGTTTTGGTCTCACGTAGACTGTCTTATAGTTGACCTAAAATCAAAGTGTATATCAAATGAATCCTACTTGAGTGAATAGATGAGTGCCACGAGTCAGACGAGGAAATGTTTGATGTTAGTTTTGATATTAAATCGAACCGTATGTAACAACAGATGATCGAAGAGGAAGAGATTCGTGTGCTAAGGAAAGAAATGGTTCCAAAAGCTCAATTGATGCCTTTCTTCGACCGACCTTTCCTCCCACAAAGGTTACTTTTTATATATATAAAAATTGGGATTTATAATGAAACGGATATTTATAGACGTATTATTGTTTGATATTATTTGAAATTAATTTTCTCTTTTTAAATAATAAATAAAATAAATGTTTGTGTGTAGATCGAGCAGACCATTGACAATGCCAAAGGAACCAAGTTTTGGAAACGTAAACAGCACTTGTTGGACTTGTGTCTTCAACAATCAACACTATCTCTACCATTTTCACCATGCTCATGCTTAAACCGTGAGAACAACTATAGCTCAATTAGAGACTTTTTATATTCCAAATCTTTGTCTTTCATTTTGGTCTTCGCAGCTTGTGTATCTGTTCTTCTGCTCCTTTCTTTTGTCAGTTTTGGCCTAGATCAAATAAAATAAACGATTGAATCTTCATTTTTACTCGACTGATATTGTATCCATACTGATTTCGACAAGCCAATCCTATCTGTTTTAGTACATCAAATGGATTGTTAATGTTTTGGAAAAATATTTAATCGCAAAACCGCCAACGAATGAGTATTTTGTATCGTGTATCAGAGGGAATCAAATTAATTAACACTGCATTATGAAGCTTAGACAAGATTGCTCCACCAAAAACGAAATATTTGGTATTTATGCACACACTAATTTTCGTTTTTTGAAAAGAAATCTTGGTTACAAATAAACTCAACTCAATGTGGAATGTTGGAAGTGATCAATTTGAACCATTAAGATTAAGGTTTGGAGGATATTTACCTCGACGAACAAGAATTGAAAACAATTTTGTTTGAATGTAGCTGATGTGAATGTGAATAAATTAAAGTGATGTTCTAAATATTCAACTTTGGGCATGTATCTTTAGTTAAACTATTTAATATTTATCATAAAGTTTGTGTTGTTTCAAGAGAATATGGTTCTGATGTTTGTTATTTTGTTATATGTTTCCGAAATGTATTTGTTCATTCTTTTACATAAAAAAAAAACCGTTTTGTTTTGTAAACGAGGAGTAATAACCGAACTATATATACATACAAGTGACTAAACAAAAGTAACCAAAATCAAAATTTGCTGGACGAATCGATAATAATTGTGATCATGCATTAGACACAGAGCGGGCCAGTAAAGGCCCAATAAAGACCACCACTACATTGTCCCACATCGGTTATAACAAAACCTAGACGTCGACGGATTCACATATAAAAAGCACTAGGTGCTTCACTGGTTTAACTCATGGAGCCGTGTGGTGAGCACAAAGCGAACTATTCTTTCGCCTTTTACTAAAGAATACCGTGTGCTCTCTACTTTAACCGGCATACACCTATTTTTGGAGGAGTAACTTCTTCTGAAGTTTGCTCCAGTAAACTCTATAGTAAAAATATTTTGTGGTTTGGTTATCAGACCGGATAGTCCGTAAGATTGGTCCCGGTTATTAATTCAGAACCACACGATTATGAGAAAAACAGTAATTTTATTTAGTCCGATTTATTACCCGGCTAGTGCTGGAGATTTATGCCGGTTAACTGGTGAGACTACTTGGTTGCAAAGCAAAACTAAAATTATGATACTTAGACGATCTCTTGGGGCACTGGTGACACTGATCGGGTAAGCCTTCCCTTGGGGCGATGTCACCTACACTTCACACATTGCATAGACTGAATCAAGAGAAAAGAAAAACAGACCCAAAATGCCTTAAGATCGCAAGGTTTTAATTGATATTAATTGTGTGGGATGTATGGAGGTTTATGAATTCTCTATAAATCAAAGGACAAGAAAGAATATATAGACTGTTACAACAATCTCTTGTTCCTGTCTAGTACTCATAAATCTCTTGTTTATATGGAAGAGTTGTAAAAGAGCAATATTAGTCCAGGAAGGTTCTCAAGAGCAATTGTGAAGAGGCCACCGAGGATGAACATGAAAAGAAATGCAACCATTATTCTCCCAATGTATTTCAGACTTTGATCTCCTTCAACACTTGTGGACTTTGAATCTTTGGAACCCTGCAAAGCAAATTGCAAACTGCTTAAGCGTTTCTCCACAATACGACTGCAAAAGGTAAAATACAAGAAAATCATAGTTCAAAAGCAAAGTGACTTCAAACCGAGCATAAGATCATAAGCTAGAAAACGAGCTTAGAGAAATTGTGTGAGAGGAGCATGTTCTCAGTTAAAGAAGAAGCTTATGTTGATTTACAACTTTAACTGTTTCACATGTTAATTTTGTACTTGTGGCTGTTACACTTGAATATCCTCTAAATTTTGCAAAATCTGTATCATCATTATTTATACAAAAGAGTTTTAGTTGGCTTGGATTGGATATTCTGGTTAGGAGAGTTCAGGATTCTCTAAAACTGTTCTGTTCCTATCGAGCTTGTTCTATATTCTAACAGAGAAAGGCAACAAGATTCTTTTCAGTTATGGCTCTAGTACTCTCTACGTAGAGGTTGGAAACTAAACTAAGCAAAATGTATCGATAAATGCGTAATACAATATCACAAATGGTTAGCAACAAAAACACAAAATACTTACAGAAGCAAACTTGCGTGGGAGATCTCGCTGAAGAAGATCGTTCTTTTTCTCAGTTCCTGCATCAACATAAAGCATAAGGTCAAGAGCTCATAAACTCCAAAATCACGATTATGCAACCATTGAAGCCAATTTTACAGAAAGAGAAAACATGTTGTCTGAATCAAAGACAGATCCTGAAACTGATAATAAGAAAGTTACTAAATTACCATGAATTTCAGACTCAATCACAGTCTTCAACTTCCAACCATGTCCATAATTCACAAGAATAGCATCATTTCCAAAACTGATTGGCTCTTCGCCTTCTTTAACCGCTTCGATGTAAACAACTCGAGATTTTAAAGAACCAAGTTTCCTATTGATCACAGAGACAACAAATTCGGCTTTGGTCCCAGCTGTGAATCGGTACTCCTTACCAGAAATCTCACAAAAAACCTCCAGAAACTAGTTTTCCACAAAATAAAACAATGATTTTAGCATTTAGAAGAATCACATAAAATCTAAAAGAAGGAATTAGGGAAACTTACGACCGGCGAGGAATCATCCGCCATTGAGTAGGGTATGATCGGGAAATCAAAAGAAGGCAAGAATTAGGAATTGGAAAAAAGTACAGATTGATCAAACAGAGAAATCGTAGCAAACCCGATTGTATGAGGGAAGAAAGAACGAACAATGTGGTGGAGTTGTCACAGAAAGTCAACTCGGAGTCGGAGGAGATACCCTTGTTAACCGGACGTAGCTGAAAACCGAATTTCTGAATTTTATTTATTACAGACAAACCAATACAAACCGGACTAAAGAGGATTTCTCCTTTTTACTTTTTAGGCCCGGCCCACCGTAGAGTGGTTCTATTCTTTTATGCATTCATCTATTTTTAAGACCAATTGATAAAAATAGCCACAAAAAAAAACAAACTTAATAATTAGGTTCATAAAAATTATATTAATTGATAGATAAAATACATGTTCAAAAATTCTCTATACGCGAATACATAATAAATAGAGAGTAATTATATATTTTTTAAGGAAATGTGATATTTTTTTATATATAAAATGAGTTTTATATTATGATATTTTTTGTTAGTAGAACTCTGGACTGTGATATTTTTTACAAATTTCTCATCTTAAAATACATAATACAACAGATTATAAATAATTAAAATATTAGCGAACTCACCAGCTGTGTATGTGTGGGA